ACTGAAAATTAGACAAGGGTCACTTTTACAGCTATTAAAAAACTTTTTCCGATATAATAAAAATATTCGAAATAATTCAAAAGTGTTATTTTTTCATTTATTTTTGTTTAAGATTTCAGCTGTGATAATATCTAGCCAATAAATCACAATAATTTACATATCAATCAATTTTGATTAGCAACTTCTAATTTTTTACTGAAAATAATTGAAATTTAGTTTATTTCCTTCAGCCATTTTTACCTTCTATTTTTCATATATAGATTAATTAAACATAAAAACGTCGATTCTAGGGTTTCTTTTTTTATAATTAGCCCGCCTCATAGATTTATTTTCTGCGACTTGATTTCTTTCGGCTGAGATTTTCTTCGTCCGAACTTAGCCGCGATTCATCAGTTGAGAGTTCGTTCATATCTTCATTTTCATTGGCGTCTCTCAAACTTTCCTCGCGAATAGTGCTTTCTTTGTTAGTTCCTCTGCGTTCGCTAGGTTTTCGGGTCGATGCGACAACACCTTTCGACGACGCTTGCGAGTCCATAACGCTTCCTTTTTTAGACGTCGGAGCTTTCGAGGAACCGACTACACTTCTTGAAACATCCGAGTCCTGTTTCGTATTTTGCGAGGGATTCACACTTCCTTTTTTGGTTATTGCCCTGGATCCGACAACACTTCGGGAAACATCCGACTTGTCAACCGACCTGCTTCCGCGAGTCGTTCTCGACTGTCGCTTTCGTCTGTCCACTTTAGAGTCGGAGCTTTGCAGAGCCGAACTGCCCGTTGAGCCGACGTATGACTTAGACTCCTCGTCGGCTTTTCCGTCTGTGGGCTTAGTGCCCCGTCGAGTTGTTTCGGCTACTCGGGGCATGTAGTCGACACTTTGACTCGAGCGACGACTTGCCAAGTCGGATCCGAGACTGCTGCTTGGTTTCTCGTCCTTCTCTCGTGCTCGGGCGAGAGAGGTTGTTTCACTAGGGGCTTTGAGGGTTGTAGCCTTTGTTGAACTCTCGTCTGCTGGGGGCCTAAAGAAAAAAGTAAAGATTTCAGCATGATTTTATGTAAAAATGGGGGTTCTGAAACTTTTTTGGGTATTTGAGTTCAAAAACTTTGAAGATTATGATACGGCCTCAGTCTGAAATCAAAAAATAATTTCAAATTTTTTTAAATCAGTTTCAGGATTTTAGTTGCATTGAACTGATAAGAGCAACATTTTTATAAGAGTTCATTTGAAATGCAAGATCCACAGTTGCGCTTTCACAATGTTAATGTAGCCAGCCAAGTTCTCTAACTCTCAATCAAAAGGTTCATGATCCGAGGGTAGTTTTGTTCCGTACTCATTGCTTGAGTTGACCGTAACATTAACACATATAAGTCAGATAACATTACCTTATAATTTAAAAGCAGTTGTATAATTCTTAATCAGTGGATTTTTTTTTCAGAGCTGAAACAACTTGTATGTAGGCTGTGACCCTTGCGAAATAGTAATACTTAATTACCTCAAACTCCCCCTTTCTCCTCATTTAAAAAAAACATGTACCTGTTAGCGCTACTGCCCCCCTCGCCCTGCTCTGCCTGGGACCCATCCAGCACCCTTCTCTCTTTATCCTCCTCCCCCCTCGGCTGACCCCTCAGTCTGTCCCAGCATAGACACTTGGAGGTGAACATGATTATAGTACAAGCGAGAGAGAAGAGAGCTGCCAACCAGATAGCCACTGTATCGAAACCGACCTGGGAAAAGAGAAGTTGAAAAAATTATTTTGAAAGAGTTATATTAAAGGGGGGGGGGGGGGGGTATTTTTGGTTAGTGCAACCACTTAATAAAAAAATAAAACAATTTTATAACAAAATTGGGACAAAATTACTTGGAAACTCAAGTAAGTTATAATATGAGTCTGGTAAACACGAAGCATTTTAACTTAATTTAGCCTCAAATTGTCTATACCAAAAAGCCCCGATAACATATAAAAATATGAGAAAATTTGTATGTTGAATACGTAATTTGTATGTTGAATACATGTACCTGCCTTTCCAGTTACCTTCTAACAAAAACTAACGAATAAGCAACAGTTTGACCAATGTTGCAAAACAAATTGTTTGAAAAAAGAAAATTTTTTTAAACTGTATTGACTGAAAGGACTTGAATTTGATACCTGTTTCGATGGCCTACAAGCGTTCATAAAAATTCTTAAAAGTGTTTATAACTAAAACTACGCCAAACCTGCCAAAAAATTGCTTATCAAAATGAAGCAAATAGAGCTTTTTATACAGGCCAAAAACTAAAACGGAGCAATCTTGTAAATGTTCTAAATAATTTTTTTCATAGCAGGAAATTATACAAAAATTGACAATTTATTCATTTTTAAACTATTTTTAAAGCCTAGCGGGCTTCGAAAATAGTTTAAAAAGGGCTTCATGAAATGCTTTTTTGATACAATCAGCTCATTAATTGAACCACTAAATGCGGCCAAACCTTCGATTGCCTAAAAAAGCCAAAACTTTATCCCCCAATTAAAGGTAAAAATAGATGGCGTGACTTAATTTTGGTTAATCGCTAAGCAGTTTTTTGTTATGATGGGTTTTATTGTTAAACGCCAATCCAATGTGAAAAACCTGCTGAGAATTTCGAAATTGGTAATTGAAATAATCTCAGCAATGCATCATCAGTGCATTGCGTAATGCTTGAATAACAAGATATTTGTTGTTCCAATTTTCGAAGAAAGCTAAAAATATATCATCCTGGGGTTTTTTTTCAAGTCAGACCGATTTTTACAAAGTTGACAGCGTATGCGTATCAATCCGGATATATGTGGATTGCCAAGCGAGTATGATTGCACCAGACTAAAAGCGGTTGGAAGCGTTGCTCGAACAGTACTTGGATAATTTCAATGCGGGAACTAATTATGCGTGGCGAATTATCCAGTCTCATAATTGTTAGATGAAAAGAGGCCAACTATGGTCATTTTAGTTTACTCAAATGTTAGCACTTGCTTTTGATTTTCGTGGAATAAAATTTATAGTTAATTAAAACAATAATGAAAAAAGATGTATTCGAGACGAGTTACGGGGCAGTCGGAACATCAGGGCTTTGCGCTGATATAAGAGCAGTGGTGTTTCTACTTTCTGCTTCATCTACTCTCTACTGTAAATCAAAATGCCTCGAGCCTGATAAAGATTTTGGAAAATTTTCGGAGCAGCTCAAAACACAACCAAAAGGATTTCAATCCAATTTCCCTGCAAACTCAAAACACAACAAAAGGGTTTCGCTGCAACTTAATTTTGAAACACTTAAAAATAGTTGATATTTATTATAATATATTATATGTATTATATTAATAATATAAAAACTTATAATAATTGTTCTTTAAGCTGTTCTTGATTCAAATTGACTTGTTTGTTCGCGCTCTATTTTCAGTTATTTTCTTATCAATTCCTTCGCAATAAACGATAAATGTCCTCTTTTAGATAAATTATTCAATAAATTTCCAACTTTTGGAGCAAAAAAAATTAATTGGACTAACTTATGCAACCACAGCAAGCCGATATTTTGGTGAAACTGTCAACAGATTTTTAATATATTTCCAGACTAAATTCACGTAATCAATTGTGTTTCAAAGCTTCAGAAAAATGACTCGAGAAAAAATGATCACAATCCGGTTATATATTACAATAGTTGGTAGTTTCAAATTGAATAGCTGCATCGCTTTTTGTTATACTTCATACATTGCTTATAATTTAATCCAAAAGCCAAATTTTCAGCAAAAGAAGTGTAAATTTGAATTTTTTAACAGCTTTTTACTGGCAGAGTATTGTATTTACAAAAACTATCTTAGTAGTAGTATAATCTATTGAAAATGAAATGACTATACTCATAAACATTATATTTCTCCAGTTCAAAACATGCACTACACTCAAAATTAGCACCTATTGCAACATATCACCCATAATCCACTATAATAGAACCTTACTGATTAAAATGGTCTTTACTGATTTGAAATAAAAGTAAGATTCGGCTTCTTTTTTACTCAAATATAGTTTAGACAGGGGCAGATCTAGGGTTTTCTAAAGAGAGGGGAGGAGGCGGATTTTCACAAAAAAAATTTAGGTCGATCATATTGATTTTGGGAGCTCTCCTAAATCACTTTAAAGACCCCATTTTGGCAAATTTTTGAAAAAACTTTTGAAATAACAGGGAAAAAAGGCGTTTTTAGACACTTTTTGGAAAATTTTGGTCCAAAAATTAAGTTTTTTCGGCGCGTTCCGCCCTAAAAAAGAAAAACATTTTGGCGTCAAAAGGGTCAGTCAGCCAAAAATGGAGTCAGTCAGCCAAAAATAGTACAAAGGGGAGAACCTTTGGGTCGGCAGGGGATCCAATCCATGAGGGGGAAAGGGGCGTCCGCCCCCTCTACCCACCCTAAATTTAGAGCTTAGAGACTGAAAAAAAAATCAAGAGATTGTAAGTCTCAATTTATAGAGACCGACACTGACTGAAAATCCATTGTAATGGTTTTTATCCGTGAAACTCCAGTGCAGTACGAGTTTCGTACTATGCCAAGAAAAACATTTTTAATATTTCACTCTCTGGGCAAATTTTCAAGGTGTAGGTAGATATCATTTTCTCTTCTCATTCAATAACTTTAAATTTATTTTTTTAAGGGGGTGGGGGCCATTGCTAAGATCCCTTTTTTCTAACCTGTAACCCTTTCACTTTATCGACTGATGTGACAAACCCGTGAGTCATCATTGTGGCCCCTATCAGGAAACAGATGAACTGGACACAGCCGAACAGCCCCCCTGCCCAGAAGGGCACTTTGTGGCAGATCTGCAGACCCACCATGATGAAGATGGGCACTGCTAGAATTATGCCCCCTATCACACAGACCTGAATTGAAATACGTAGTGATAATGCCAATAATTTAAGCCAAACTGTCAAACTTAGACAATGATTTTTTTCACATTCTGAAAAAAAAAGAAAAATGAAATTTTATACAAAAACTGAACAACAAGGAGAATGGGCATTGCAAGAATTTTGACTCCTATTATACAGACCTGAAAATAAACATTCGTGTGTGGTTAACCAACAAGAGACCTAACCCGGAGTTAAATTATTTAAGGTTAACTGAGCTATCTTCCCGGGTCGAGGTGCTCGATTTATCTCTCGACTTTCTCGACCAAAAATCGGTATGTCTCGACTTTCTCGACCAATTTTTGACTTTCTCGACCAAAATTGGATATGTTTCGACTTTTTGGTAGACTTAAATTTGCTTTTGGACCGCGGAATTTCAGTCGCAAAACTGCACTTGCTCGACTTTCAAAGTCGAAACATATGTCGAGCACCTCGACCTGGGTTACAAAATCTCAAACCGCAAATTGAAGCACACGTGCGATTTGTAACCACAGTCATATCATTGCTTGGAACTTTCACAACCGATACGCCACAACGCAATTGTAATAATGATCAAAGTATGTCATGATAAGATCCGAATATTTTGAGCCAAGCTGTCGGAATAATCTAGATGTTGATTTTTTAATTTTTTGAATTCGCAAGTCGCTTTATTACATAAGTCGCTTTATTCACAAGGGAAAGGACCAACATACGAGCTGTACAGCTCATCATTGCGAACCGCTGTTGTGCCCCGGTTTAAGAAATACATGCAACTTTTTCGGCTTCTTTTCTGAGCCGGGTAATATTGCCTTACCCTCAAGCAACGAGCACGGATCAAGGTGAAAACTAAGAAAGTTAGCAAAAAAGAAGCCATGATAAAAATGGGCTTTTTTAAAATTATGCCCTCTATCAAATCACATAGACCTGAAAAAAATCACTGTGCAATGATAAAAAAGGGATTTTATTTTTTCTCCGTAAACATTTGTTGTTCATTTAGACCTTAATTCTTGATGAGTTTTTTGGAGAAAATGTATTTTGCACCTTAGCTACTGTAACCTCTGCCCATTTCTGCCCGTAGAATTTCTCAGATACGTCTTTGGTGTACTTGAAACAATCCCCCTTCATGTACAAATCTTGACCGGGCTTCACATTTTTGAGCACAGTGTTGACCGGAAACACTTTTCCAGGGCAGTATTTCCACAGACCCCCGTGGTGGTCGTCCAAAAACCATGCACCCTAGAAAAGACCAAAAAATTACACTACTGGAATGTAAACTGTAACCTAGTATTAAGAGATGTCGCAGGTAATCAACTAAGGCTAAGCTAATTCATTAAAACAAAGCCAACATACAGTATGAAAAGAGTCAATAAACGCAAGTAAACAAAAAAACTGACTTACTTTTTAACAAAATCTCAACTGTCAATTTTAAAGGGAAAAAATAGATAGCCTAGAGCTTTTTGAACTTTTAGAACATTTACGATTGACGTTTTTCTGATATAATTAACCCAATTTGAAAAAAACTGTAGTGTTAGGTCGGAAAAATTTTTCGCTTTGAAATCTAAGAAGTACCCGCATCCAAGTTTAGGCGTAAATAATCGATTATAACTGATTATTATGATGATTTTTTGACAATTGTAATCGATTATAATTACCAAAATTAGGTCCTTAAAAGATTTATAATTGATTATAATCGTGATATTTTCTAAGAGATTATAATCTCTTATAATCGATTATAATTGACTATAGTTCTTACTATAAAAGCACTTAAAATTAATTATAATCGATTATAATCTCTTATTTTGCCGAAATTTTCTTAAATTCTAATTATATCTTATGGGTTATTAATTTTGTGTCAATAAGAAAATCTGTAAAAGAGAGATCTCTTGAACACTTAAGTTCATCTGAACTCAAAGTTTTACCACGAAACAAAAGTTTCATAGAGATCCTTTCATATGAGTGGAAAGGTTCTCGCGGTAGATGAAAAGTAAATTTTCCGAATTAATCATGAAACTAAATCAATTTGCTGATGTATTGGTGTTTAAAAAAGCTCAAAATATGCATCACAAAACAGCCCTAATGGGGAAGAAAAGAAAAAAAACTTATAAATTTGAATTAATTGGAAAACTTAAAAAATATTTTTCTCATTTTTCATAGGAATCAACGTCCATAAAAGCATAAAATATAAGCAATTTAGATGCAACTTCGAAGACAAAATGGACAAACAAAAGAGATTACAATCAATAATAATCAATTATAATGGATTTTTGTGCAAAACTAATGAAATAGAAATTTGAATAAAAATAATGGATTATAATCAAATATAATCGATCATAATTGTATCGAAAAATAGACAAATAAATAATTGATTATTATCGATTATAAGGGATTATAATTGATTATAATTTGATTTTTAAAAGAGTGATTATAATCGATTTTTAATTGATTAAAATCGATTGTTTCTCAATTTTCGTGAGACTGGTACTAAAATCGTAATATAATCGATTATTAACGCTTGAAACTGGATGCGGGTAAGTTCCAACTTGGAAACTAGTTGTCGATCACATATTTTTAAGATCTTGTGACTTTTGCTGTTCTGCAATGGATTTAGCCTTTCTTTTAACAAAGAAAATGGGCTGAAGTTAACAGTAATCAGATGCCAATCTGCAAAAAGGTAAATTTGAACCTGAACGAAAAATTAAGTTTGAAAAGTTTTTTTTTCAGTAAACAAATCATCAGATCCTAAATAGGAAATCTGAATAAGCTTTGAAAGATTGTTTAATATTGTTCAGGTTTGTTGAGCGCAAAAAACATGAACAACAAATCATCTGTTGCTATATTTAGTTAAAAACAAAAGAAATTAGATTGATTTTAGCATTCAAAGATGTTGGCAATGGCTAGAACCTTAGTCGATGATCATCGTAGCTACTTGCAGCAGCTGCTTTGGCAATTTCAATAGAATAATACAACAAAACCAACAGAAAATTGGATGAAAGTCAATTAACTCAAAAAACAGGAAAAATATCGGAATTAATTTTGTTTGAACATTTTAAAATTGTTGAATTTAACGCAAAAACGTCACGCGTTAAGGATATTTCAAATTGAAAATCCTTTATGATTGCCAGATTTTTCATAATCTGGTTTCTGAAAGTCGCAATAGTGATATGAAAATATATCAAAACTGAAATGCTTAAAAAAAAGATGATTATGAAATGAGACTAAGCAAGATATCTAACGTAATTATTTAGCTTACAGAGTTAAACTAAAACAAAGAAAAATTTAGAGGTACTTTTTCCTCACCAATTTTAGGTTTCAACTGTTTGCTGGTAAGTTTTGATTTTTATATTCCTTTTGTTTTCGGTAAGCCCCTTTGCTTTCAGTCAACATATTTTAACTTCAGCCGGTGCTCTTTTGTTAGATTTTTCCTATCTAGATTTGTGTTAAATTTTTTTGTACTTTCTTGTTATCAGCTTTCTTCTACCTCTCTTAAAAAAATGATCTGATCGCGTTTTTTGTTTGGTCATATACAATTGGTATTTGGTTTTTCCTAACGATTGCTAGAAAAAATATCATTTGGGATTACGTTTTCATGGGCTTTTTAAGGTCGTTTCCACTAGCAGTATTTATAATTATATTCAATTTTCGCGTAGTTTGCTTGACAAACGCAACCTGTTTTGCTAGCGTTACAATTTTTTATCGGGTTGCAGACATTGAAAGATGTCCCTTGTAAAGTACTTGCCCACACTTGCAACAATTTTGCTCAATTTTTTTGAAAAATTTGATGATCGAGAGCGCTTCTTACGTGGAAAAATGTTGTTATTGTAAATTTGTTGTCCTTTCGGGTTTCAGAATTTTAACGCATGTTTTTTTTCATAATAAAAGTATTAGTTCCAATACCATTATTCTGAGTTTGAAAATTACCGCTAAGTTGCTTTGAGTTTTGTAGGATTTTCCTAAGATTTTTTTCTAGTCCTCATTTCGAGCAAAAAATTTTTGCAGAAAAAATTCTGAAGAAATTGTCAGCCAAATTGCTTCTCCTTTTATGCCTGATTCATTAGATGAAAAAAAACCTGGCATCTATTTTAAGAACAAGAATTTTTTAACCGCGGGTAATAATGAAACTGGCAAACAAACCATCATAAGAACGGCTTGAAAAACTTTTTCCTTGCGTAGTTCAATTCTGAGAAACAGTTTTTCCTAGCGTAGTTCATTTCTGTACTATTTTCGCAGCAACTGGGTAATTTTGTTTCCTGTGTGTCTTTTTGTTTGAGGTTTGCAAATCGAAACTGATTCTGTAGTCCAACGCCTAAGACGCTCAATCGAACGCGTACTATAGAGTTTCTGAGAGATTGATATACAGGGTCAGTCCTATAGTGCAAACTTAAAACTCTCAACGTTTCAAAAAAACATCTCGCACAGGAGCAAAAATTCCAGTTTTTGTGGAATTGGCACATAATTGAACTCCGCAAGCTAAATATGTTTTCCGAAAAAGTTTAATTGTGGATTAATGGTTTATCAAGTTTAATGGTTTATCAACAGTTTGCTTAAAAAACTAAAATAAGTTCATGTTTTTATGCTAAAGAAGACTAACTTGCATAAACATGATGATGCAACATCTTGTAATTTGAAAAACTATCTTATTTTTTTTGAAAAAAATTATTTCGAGGTTTTTTTGATGTTTCGAAAGCACCGTTGTGGATATAATTGATTTATTTGATCATTTATTGTATTTGAAAAATCTGCAGACACTTCGATAAAACTTTGAAAAAAAAATTAAATACTTCATTTTTTGAAATTATTTAACTTTAAGGTAAGGCCGCCAAAGTCTCGTTCAGTAAAATTTAATTCACGCTGCTAACCTGGAAGTTTCCCATAACTCCGAGAAGAAACACGATCGCAGCTAGTCCGAAAGCAATTGGCTCGTAACACATGGCAAACGAGATATTTTAAAATTCAAGCTTGGAAAAACGAACAGCCGATGGATTTGGAGTCTTTGATAATGGTTACAATTTATGATAACAGCAATCGTTCTTTATCAGCAGTTTAACTTGGGCCAATCTAGCACTTTTTAAGTTATTGATTCACGTCGGCTATTGCAAAAAAAATATATTATACCCCAAGCTATTTAATGAATATAATGCAAACTTTAAAATCTATTTTTTTTTCAGAGAAAATTAAATAATGGCTGACAATTGAAAACGCATCAACAAGATTTTCAGTAAATCTTTCCTCATAATAAAAATGGTTGAAAAAAATGTGAAATCCTACAGACTAATGTGTCTTAAGCAAATATGATCAAATTTCATCTATTGTTTTACATATGTGTCTGTACTAAACTCGCGTTTCCTTGCAAGGCAAGCTTGAGAGCAACACATTGCTGAAATTAACAGAGAAAACCCAGTTTTGATCCTATGAAAAAAGGTGTTATTATGGCTTAACTTTTGATTTATTTCGTTCATTGACCCTAAGACAGCAATGATTTTTTAGAAATGTGAATAATTCAAGGTAACTACACTTGGTTTCAAAAAATGGCACTTGAGCTTAATGTTCTGACAAGTTTTCCAATTTTATTGCTATCTATTACAGCAAAAATGGTTTTTGGAAATTGGCAAAACATTTTTTTTAGAAGATTGTTTGGCTAATTAAAAAATTTTGCTGATTTGTTTACAATGTCGCCCACTATTTTATTTTTAATTAGATTTTTTTCAGATTTGAATGTACAAACCAGGAACAAGTTGTGAAAATTACGAAAAATTTTTTGCCTTTCAGTGACCTTTGTGAAACAAATAACACAAAAAAATCATCCGTATCGAAAAAAAAGATGATAATTTGAATACTTTTTAGTGCATACATTTTCTGCGAAATCCAGTGCATTAAGTTACAAACAAACAAATAACCACATAAGTTGATAAAAGCAATGGATATTTGTAAGGACTGCAAATTTAATTGATGTAATGGTGCTCTTGTTCTTTTAATCATGTTTTTTGTCCGAGGCGACCCTTGATTTTTGATTTAGTTTCTTTTTTCTTTCTGTTTTCCACGCAAAATCAGGAATCACAAATAATCCTTGGAATAAATCGAGTGATTTATCATATTAAATGCCTTTCAGTCGTGGCTCGAACGACTCTTAAAACTTTCCAAAACATTTTACAATGTCGAGAAAAACTGGTTTAAACTTAATGATTATTTGTCTAAATTTGAGCGAGTGAAGCGAGCGAGCATGCCTATTTATGCTTAAGTGAGGCTTTTTACAATAGCTTGCTTATGCTTTATTTTAGTTTTACTCGAGGAAATTTAGTGTTTGGAGTTTTTTAACGCCATTTTGAGAATCAAAACTTCAAAAACTCAAAGGTTTACTGCAAAAAACTGAAATATTGTCCAGTTTGCCTGTTTTGTATGAATTCTGAATAAAATTTACGTGTAGTTTTTTGCTCAGATAGTTTTTATATAAAAAAGACACTTATCTTAAAAAAATGTTTTTGCTTTAAAGATTTGAACGGAAATTTTTGTGCTACATGCACATTAAGGGGCTTTTTTCCCAGTGTTATGAAAATTTTGAGTTTTAATCGAACTTCGAGCGAGTAAAGCAAGCGAGCAGGCTCATTATAGAAAATCAAGCCAGGAAACTTCAGTGACCTCCAGTAAAAAAACTTGTTGAATATTTTACCGCTATCTTCCGAATAAAAATCTTCAAAATTTCAAACATTTTCTGCAAAAAACTTGAAAATTCTTTGAAATTTTTTTTGTTTTTTTTTTAAAATCTTTTTTGACTAAAATTGTTGCCTATTTTACTATGGCCGACGAAAATAAATAATTTTTTGATTTTCGTAAGATAAGACTCGCAAAAAAGCAACATTAAGCTTTCTGCTTTTTTGTTTGAAAAATAAATATGAAAAGTCGTTTATGTATTTTTTAAGATTATGCTCGGAACATTCTTCTGTGCTACTTACATAGCCACCGGCTGACTTGTTTCAATATGAAATTAGATGCTATTCTATTTTATTTTCGGGTCGATGAACCCTTAAATGTTAAAAAGACATTTGCCAAATTAGACTCCCTATAGTAATCTTAAGGTCCTCGGAAAACCCCAAATCACAAACAAAACCAATCATTTTTGAAAAATTGATACAAAAAAAATTGTTGAAAATTTTTTTTCAGTTTGTTTTAAGTCGAATTCCTTTGCTAATTGCATTGCCAATTTTTCAAAATCACAAAAATGTGCACTTTAGCAGGTTTATTTTCAGCATTTTACACCAAGCGTATTACCATGTTAATAATAGATTAATTCTATAGTAGCAAACAATGTTCGAGCATGAAAGTTCTAAGTTTGCTTTATGTGTATGACAATTCTAAATTCGCGTAATAGTTATTGAAAACTGGAACATGCTCCAATAATCCGAAAAAAGCCTCTCCCTTGAATATTCTATACCAGGAGAAACGAGGACAGCTTGTTCCTGTGCAAGTAGCATAGAATGTTGCGACCATAGTCTTACAAAAGTCTAGCAAAAACGTGTCGAATTAATGTCGTTTTTTTAAATTAGTGTAGATTTTTTCTGCGTGGTGATACAAATAGATCAAAAAAAAATAAAGTCTATTCCACAGTCATATGTTTTATTAGACAAATTCCACAGTCATATTAAAGAAAGCAAAATGTTTTTTTGAAGAAAAATGATGCTAGAAGAACAAAAAAAAATTCAAAGTTTTTTCAGTTTTTTAATATAATTTTTGTTGTTGATTTCAAAAAAGCGCTGAAATACTCAACAAACAGACTTTACCCGAGTAAAATTACATTTTTTGGCTCAAACTAAATTAATGTAAGCTTTTAAGTCATTGCTAGCCTGCTCTTTCGCTTTGTTCGCTCGAATTAAGAAAGAAACTTCAAACCGTATTTTCTCGACACTTCTGAAATTTTAAAATTACGTTCAAATCACGACTGAATGGAATGTAATTTGATAGTGCACTCAACTATCTCCGGTGATTTTTTGTGGTAGCTGATTTTACTTGGAAAACAAAAAAGCAAAAAATTTAAACACACCCAAATGCAAGGTTTCAACCCATTTTTCAAATCATTGGAACTATCAAAAAAGTTAGAGATCAAACAGAAATGGGTCGTAAAATTAAATAACTTTAGTATATGTCGATGATTGGGAATTTTTATAGTTTAAAATCATCAACTTAGAACAATGATTTCATTTTTCGGCGAAATTGTTTTTAAAACGTACACCATGAACATTGTATTTCGGGCTGATGATTTCTTATTAGGGCACTAACTCGCAAATAACCTAATTGTTGTAAAAGTCTAATTCGATCAGCGCGTAAAATTTGAGCAGTGAATTAACCTCGGCAATAATGGATCAAATTTTGTGAAAAGTTGCAAAAATGATACTGATTATTGCACCCATCGCTCTTATAGGTAAGAAAAAGTTAGAAGCCCCTACATTTGGTGTTCTATAATGAGTGGCTAGAGATCGCTTTGTTTTTCACGTGTTAGCTGAACGATGAGAATTTTTCTTTATAAAGAAACCATTAACTAGTATTTTCATCAAAACATTGTTTTTCAGCATGTTCGAAATAATCAAAATATACAAAGGAGTAGTTTTTACAAAACTTATAACTTTAGTTATAAGTTTTTTTATGTTAAACTTGATCATTTATTTGAGTTGATTTTCGCAATAGCAGAGTATAATAGTATATAAGACTGATGTCTCTATTTGTATCAACTTACAGCCCTTCAATCAAAAAAGCTTTCAACCAATCATTATTGACTACTGGCCTAAAATTATACTTTTAAATGATATTTTTCAATATTCTGTAATTGTGGTAAAGAACTGAAGCTGAGGTCAACCATTATAATTATAACATTTTTTTTGACACAATAAATTATAATCAATTATAACTGATAGATAACAAGTATAAATTTTCCGAAAATGTCTTTTAATCTCTTATAATCTCTTATAATCTCTTAAAATCATTTATAATCTATTATAGTCTAATATATTAGATAATATTCCTTTTTTCTGTCAAAAATCTTTAAATTTGACTAGTTTTGTCTTTCTTTAGTTTATCTGAACACAAAGTTTTACCACGAAACAAAAGTTTCACAGAGAACCCTTCATAGTACTTGAAGGAATCCAGCGGTAGGTGAAATATAATTTTTCTAAATAAAACATGAAACTAAAGCTGTGTGCTGATATTTTGGTAGTGAACAATTTTTTAAAAGTGCATCATGAAACAACTACAATCAAGAAGAAATGAAAAAATAAAAACGTTATAAATTTGAATTGATTTAAAAACTGTTAATACAATTTTCTCATTTTTAACATAAACCAACGTCTAAAAAATTAGCAATTTTTATCGATATTTTATTGCTAATTTGGCTTATTTCCTGCGATGAAACAGCGATAAAAAACCAATTAACACGAGCAAAAATAGTGACCTACGTGGTTACGAACCCTCAACCATCATATTAGTAGACATGACTACTACCTCTGCGCCATCAAGCATTGGGTAACAAAAGTTAAAAGGCTTATCAACTGAAACTCTCATTTGAAAGCTACTAGAATGAATTATAATTTCTTTATAAGTTTTAGCGCTGACTTTCTAGGGAATCATTACTGAAATAGCTCTGAAATGTCCCAGGTTTAGCTAAGCAAAAATCTCTGAATTACACATGAATCAGCGCTGGAAAATTGCAATCAATGGGTTACTTAAGAAAAAAAGCGATAATTAAAGGTTTCATCCCGCCAAGGACTGAATATGGCTAGTTCAGCTCCTCTGAAATTTGAAGCAAACATTACAAAACGAAGCAGCAATTATTAAAAAACATATTAAGCAAACATTAGCAAACATTAAAAAACGTTCTTTCAGAGTAAAAACTCTCAATTTGTGCTTAACTGCGCCCACTCGTATAATTGTTCACCACAGTAATGCC